TGCAGCATGTATGGGCTGGAGTTATAGGTGATCAGTTATTAGGTCCATTTTTTCTTCCAAAGAGATTGACAGCCGATGCCTACATACATTTTTTACAAAATGACCTTACAGAGGCATTTGATGAATTACCTCAACAAATTCTAGAAGATTGCTACTTTATGCACGATGGAGCACCAGCACATTATGCACGCGCTACTCGAGCATACTTAAATAACAGATTTGGCAATAAGTGGATTGGCCGAGGAGGGCCACCTCGTTCACCAGATTTAAATCCGTTAGATTTTTGGTTTTGGGGACATTTAAAACAAATTGTTTATTCTGAAGACGTTCAAAATGTGCAGGATTTGAAGAATGAAATTAGTAACGCATTTGACACATCTTTGAACGCATTAGAAGTTCATTTAGAAAATGTATCCGTTTGTGTTTAGAAGTAAATGGTGCGCATATTGAACATTTAGTATAACATGAATCTTTTCCAATTTGTTAAATATTCGTTGTTTTTATGCTGGTTGAACGATTTTCTTCGACAATCTTTGTTACTTGTTTTGTTAAATTATTAATGAACTGTATTAATTAACTTAATATTATCTTATTAAACTTTATCTTAACCATCGTAATCATGGTAATCATATAATTACTGCATCTAAATCGTTAGAATTAATGATGTTTACCGGTTTCAGGCTGTAAGAAGGTTCTTAACATTCACAAAAGTTGGTTTGTAATGTACCTTATAACTGTATTAGGAATGTAAAAATGACATATCGGTAAGGTAAAAATGACATATTAGTAATGTTATATTTTTACAATACGGGAAAAGAAGCTACATATTTAATAAACCTTAATTATGAAAATTTTAAGTAACAATGGAACAGAAACCTAATGCTATTTTTAATAATAGTAATTATTTATGTTCACCATGCAATTAAAACAACCCGAAAAAGTGTGGTGCATTAGTTAGTTTAGGTAAATTAACATCACTCATTTTACAAATTAATGAATTTAAAAAAAATAAAATATTTGTTGACAAATAAACATCTTTGTGACTGCCTAGCAACTAACTTGTATAACGACTTTGACATTTACGGAAAAAGTTGCAAATGAATTTTTGATTTACTATTGTTCGCATTAAAGTCATCAAAATGCGAAGGTGGTCGCCTGAAACNTGTTTAAAGTTCATAGATTTTGTATTTTGAATTCATTTATTTTGTTTCTTACGTTTGCCGAAAATATTAAAACAAGTTTTATTTTTTGTATTATTCGTACGAACCACGTAGAAAATCAGTCAGTTTCGTTGTTGTAGTTATTAAGTTGATTTAATTATTGTTTAGTGCAATGTGGAACCAAACCATTTAATTTCATAATATAATATATTGATAGTAAGTTATCTTTAATTCATTCTCAAACGAACTCGTAATTTCTCAACCTCAAAACAGGTAGTTTTAATCACTCAAAAAGACAATCACTCTTTTTCACTATGACATATTTGGTGTTAAAAAAAACAATCTTTTCTTTCTTATGTATAGGTATGAGAATTTTTTAATATCGACGAAGTGATATTTTACAAAGATGAATGTTCTGAACAGATGGTATACTCGAAAAGTTTCCTAATTCATTAAATTATTTTCGTTCTTGTTGAAACATTCGCACATTTTTTTATTTTTTATATAATAATTTGCAAGCAAAAAGGTTAAAAAAAGAACAAGTCTTTTTCTTTATCTTCTTTATTTATGTCACTAAATCAAAGTCGTTATATCATCCACGTTCAAGCAATATGGTTTATGTCTTGTAATAATTCTAATAAAGCACGTTCGTGTTTTTATGAGAAAAAGAAATATTTAATAATAAAAGTAAAGTATTAGATAAAGAAATATATCAAGATTTTTTTTAATCCTAAGATTTCTTTTTACAGCAGAAATTTCGATTTAGCATTGAATAAAGTTGATGTTTTTGGAAATTTTTTTCAAACAATTAATTCGATTCCATCATCGTGTTGAAACCTGTCAAATTGTATCGGATTTATAACCGGTTCGGAATTTAAGTGCCGAATTTCCAAACAATTAAAGTACATTCATCCATCTTTTGGGAATGTAACAAACAACTTTATTGAATGTTAAAATTAATTGCTGAAGAGACTACAACAATAATTCGTTATTTAAAAAATAAATTAAACTTTCACACAACATTTATAAAGTCATAAGTAGTTTAACAACATGTACATAAGGTGAATAGTTCAACAATTATGACAGATATTTTCTAGGTCACAAATTTTCATTGTGTAGATATAACCGTGTACATTCATGTCAACTGGTACGAGCTCCGGTTCCATCTATCTTATTCATGCGGTCTGAGAGCATGACGGCTATGTACAGGGTGTTTCGATAAAAAAAGATTTATTATTTGAGCTTGTACACGTGGAAAATAAAAATGAAACATTTAAATTCATTCAAAACAGCATGAAAAATTGTATATATGAGAACTTTTCTAGAATTTTTTTTCAAACTATTAATTATGAATTATTTAACTTTACCCAAAGATAAAAAACAGAATAAATATAGTATTTGCCTAAAATTTAGCTATAAATTGTTTTGAAATTAACTCTTGATTTAATTATAAAATTAAGACCTAGAGACAAAAATCGTACCAACATTTAAATTAAATTTGTCATTTTTTTAAATACTTATTTCAACTTAGAGAGGGAAAACTGTAGTTGACGTTTTGATGTAGCGTCTACTGACCGTTCAGCCTAGAAATAAAAGCGTCAGGTCTGTTTCAGACACAACGATTTTTGCCCTACAGCAAATAACCGTGCTGCAGATGAGATGGCTGCTTCGAAGCTTCCGTACGGAAAACAATCTTTGCCATCCAGTCTAAAAGGGCGTATACTCTTTATTAGTTACCACGGTTAAAAACACTACACATGTCTACCAATCGCATAATTTTTAATTAAAACTAAATAGCCTCCTTAAAACCCTTTAACTAAAATCCAGCGATTTCCAAGTCGCACAAACCGATTGGTAATTCTATTGAACATGGTAATTAATCCAGTTAAAGTAACAGTTTTTCAGTTATGTTTAATTTTTCAAAGTTATCTTTCTCTACTTATTTTAAAGCGATATAACTAAATTATAAATTAAAAAGAAACAAATAGAAGTTTTGTTAAATCCGGCTGGTAATATTCCAGACTGGGCGTCGCGCGTTTATTTTACCTACATAAAGGAATAACGCGCGACGTCCAGGCTAGAAGAGACACCAGTACATGAAAAAGCAATCGCATCGAAAAAATAAATGCCTTATAATAAATAATATTAAATTTGTAGATTTTGATTAATAAATTTCCTTTTTAATAAATAGGTGGGACTTTACCCTCTTTCAAAATAATATCTATCGAATCTGGGTGAAACGGAAGAAAAATCTTTTAACTGGAAAATTAATTCGTCGACGATTTGAAACGTAGCATCTGGTAAATATCAATCAAATGTTGAAACCTTCCTCATAGTAAATTGAATTGGACGGCGTCGGGTTCGTATCGATTTTTCTACGGTTAAAAGATCGACAGAAATAGATTTTGTGAATAATTGCAGTTATTTTAAATCACGTTATTAGACTTAAGATATAAATCATAAAATATAAATTTTAATTTAATATTTTATAGTTTGTGAATGAATGAATTTTCTTACTACTTAATGAATTATTAATAAAATAATAACCGTAAAGTTATCTTAAGTATTTGAACGGAGAAATGTTTGGTCCTTAGTAAACTTGGAGAACCTTATAAAATTTTATGAGGAAAAATCTGCAACGGTATCCTTTAATATTTTATAAAAATGGTCGACATACTTTAATAATTCTTAAAATCTTCATTCAAAAACAATTTTTTGCTTCAACTAATTAAAATCACCTTGATTTATTATACGTATCGGTAAAAGGTCGTTAAAAAAACTTTTCGTTTCATTTTTAATTAAAGCTTGCGATTTCCCGCTGTGTTTCTATTCATAAAAGTGGGACGTGAAAATAACCTACATCGCCGGTTGGTGTAATAAAACTGTTCTATTTCAGTTAAACCAGAAATGGAAATAAATATAAAAATACCTACGTACCTATACATAAATAAGCAGCTGAATGTATAAGTAAGTTGCAAGACTGCGTTTTTATCGTCCAATTCCGGATATTCATAAATATCTGAACGTTCACACGTACTTATTTTTTATTTTACAACTTAGTTGTACTTCTAGTTTTTAGTTCAATAAAAACAATTTAGTACTGAATAACAAGTAAAACTAGAACTAACACTAGACCTAAAACTAGAAAGTTTTGAGTTTAGCCGTTAAACCCGAATGTTTCTAGTTCTCGGTCTAGTGTTAGTTCTAGTAGCAGTAGTAAGTAGCGCTAGTTACCATAAGATATTACTAAGTTCTACATTTCTATTGAACTAAAACTAGAATGAGAACTAGAAACAATCGGGTTTAGTCGTTGCAGTTGTCAATGTCAACTTTAATTTTATTATTATATTCGCAATCTTCATAAAATAACCTTTAAAGTGAGTCCGAATTTGACGCATTTATCTCAAAAAACCAAAAATTTCGAACTTTCAACTTTTAATTTTGACATATTTGCCAACTTCATAAAAAATCCTTTAAAATGAGTCCAAACTCGACATATTTAACTTTGATATTAATGGAAATACAATCACTTCCGGTTTGAAACGTCAACGTCAATTTTGACATATTTGTCATCTTCATTAAAACACCTTTAAAATGAGTCCAAAGATGACGCACTTATCTCAAAAAACAAAAAAGTTTGAATAAAAAACATTAAACCCGAAGTTAGCAGCAATTTAATTTTTAAATATTAATACCAACCTTAATTTTTATTTTTTTTATTATCTTTTTGTTTTTTGTGATAAATATTACGACATTTTATAAAAATTATGAATATATCAAAATGACATTGACATTTCAAACCGGAAGTTGCTTATATCTCGATTAATATTGGATTTAAACGTATCATGTTTGGACTCATTTTAAAGGATTTTTCACGACGATTACAAATATGTCAAAATTGACGTTGACATTCTTAACCGGAAGTTGACCATAACTTCATTAATATTGAAGATAAATATGTCGTGTTTGTACTCATTTTAAAGGATTTTTAATGAAGATTACAAATATGTCAAAATTGAGGTTGACATTTTAAACCTGAAGTTAGTTATCATATAATAGAAGTTTTATAACTGAAGTTAATCTAGTGTTAGTCACTTTTCCGCACTTTCTTTTTATTTTTAACGTGTTTTTTGGGTCATTTCACATTGATTAAAAAAAATCGTCGATTTTTAAGCCACATGATGATTCTTGAATTTTTCCCAAGTTTCTTAATATTTCTTTTGTTAAAAAAGAGCGTTCTTAAATTTTAACCTGTAAACTTGTAACACTTCGTCCTTAATTTCATTTTACAACTTTTTAAACTTTAATTTTGTAAATTAGTAACTAATAATCTGATTTCGACTTTGATACGTGATCTTTTTTAACAAAACAAAAAGAAATATTAAGAAACTTGTTTGTAAAGTGGATAAGACGAGAGATGTTAATCTATTTGTAGAGTCTCTGAAGATGGCCAAGGGCCGAAACTGGTTAGACTTAAATTCTATATAAAATAAAAACCAGTTTAAAAGTACAAAATCAAACTCCAGATTATTTTCATCAAAAATATTTACACGAATCGTCATCATTTTGTCTTCAGTTTTAGTGATTAAGTTTATGCCACGACTTGCAGAAACACCCTGTATGCCCTCTGTGCTTGTGATAGCTGTCATCAGTGTTCTGTTTACTATTTTCAATAGTTTGAGCCTGTCTATTCTGAGAAGTCTTATATTTTTTCTGAACATTGTTCATTTGTCGCTTAGTCAAGTGATGTATAACGCGGTCCAATTAATACTAGAACTACCATCTTTGATTTATACATCATATAAGATAGACCTAAGAACACGGAATAGAACAACTTGTGAAATAACCCGAGTTGAATTCAACCTACGACGTTTTACTGTAATATTTATATTCATATATATTCAATGTATGTCAAGAGAACAGTAAACATAGTGATGAATTATTTATCTGCGAGATGTGAATGTAAAACTACAATGTGTTTACAACTTAAAACTGTAAACACATCAACGTATCAATTGAAAATAAAAGAAAAACCAATAAGATAAAATTTAATTAAAAAAAGAAAATCTGTTTTCGTAATTAACTTATTTATCATCAATACCACCTTCATGGAACCAGTCAGGTTGATAATCCCACATCAAAAAGAGCTGAATGTAATTATTTATGATGTATTAATACGTTGAAAATAGATAAGTAGTATAAACAAAAATTTAATTAGGTTTCATGGATCGCTCATTTTAATTTTGTTGGTTTAATTCCTTTTTTTATTTTTTAGGGAAAGTCTACGACATCGACGGTGAGAAAGGTAAAACGAAAAAAATCTTCACGTCAAGTAGATCGTCAATGTTCGAAAGAAAAAGGATACGACATCAACGTAGTATACTTCGAAAATCGAAATAGAGTTAAAGTTCACAGTTCGAGAACTCTTATAATTTTTTTTAAGATTTTATTGAGTCTTATTGAAGTTAAAAAACTTTTTTTAACTTCAATTATGACGAAAAAGAAAAAAAATAATTGCTGGTAAAGTTCAAAAATGTTTCTTTCTTTGCCGTAACTAATATAATAAAAAAATATAACAAATAAAAAGTTTTTTTATTTGTACTTATTCCAACTTGTTAGTGAAGGACTCTTCAAGGATAATACTCTTGAATAATAGCAACCAGCTTACGGGAACAGAAACCCTATTACAAGATAATCGCCTCTTGTAGACACAATTTACATTAACGCTGTTGTGTATAGGAACGTTAAAGGATGTAACGAGATAGGATTGAAACAGATTTAGAATTTGATTTGAATAGAATTGAGATTTTAATACTAATAATTAAGTATCGACCAACATATTTTTAAAGTTTACATTTAAACTTTGTTTAAATTTGTAATCTTCATTAAAAATCCTTTAAAATGAGTACAAACACGACATATTTATCTTCAATATTAATAAAGTTATGGTCAACTTCCGGTTAAGAATGTCAACCTCAATTTTAACAATATTGTAATCGTCATGAAAAATCCTTTAAAATGAGTCCAAACATGATACGTTTAAATCCAATATTAATCGAGATATAAGCAACTTCCGGTTTGAAATGTCAATGTCATTTTGATATATTCATAATTTTTATAAAAATCTCTTCTTAATCATGCGGCTTAAAAATCTACGATTTTTTTTAAACAATGTGAAATGACCCAAGAAACACGTTACAAATAAAAAGAAAATGCAGAAAAGTGACTAACACTAAATTAACTTCAGTTATAAAACTTTTATTACTTGATAACTAACTTCAGGTTTAAAATCTCAACCTCAATTTTGACATATTTGTAATCTTCATTAAAAATCCTTTAAAATGAGTACAAACACGACATATTTATCTTCAATATTAATGAAGTTATGGTCAACTTCCGGTTAAGAATGTCAACGTCAATTTTGACATATTTGTAATCGTCGTGA